ACTGAGACAGAACCTCAACAGCCTCACTTGGCCGGTCTGGAGTGAAAAGATATAATTTTTCAGTATCATCAGCATACTGATAATACTGAAGCCCAAATTGGTGGATGACTTCACCCAGTGGTTTCATGTAGATGTTGAAAAGGAGGGGAGAGAGAATAGAATCTTGCAGCACTCCACGAATGAGGGACCTAGGGGACAATCTCTCCCACCAACCAACACCAACTGGAACCAGCCCCAGAGAAAGGAAGAGAACCCTGTAAAATGGTGCCCTCAATCCCCAACCCACAGAGCTGGCTCAGGATGTGGCCAACAGTATCGAAAGTTACCAAGTCTCAGAAGTAAATCCTGGCCTGAAACCTGACTGAAATGGGTCCAGATAATGTATTTTGTTGCCATTAATAAACCCACCAATAACTTTAGGCCTCTTACCAAAGGTCAAAATTTTTGTTTTTGATAGCTCATCCACAATTTTTCAACTCTGCAGCATTGAGCGAAGGATTTGAGAGTGCTTCTCATTCCTACATAGATAGTGGAAGAATAATCATGTCATCAGCATATAAAAGCACTGAAAATGTCTGTTAGCCAGTTTAGATGACAGTTAATTTTATTAAGGTACTGTCTAATTATGTTAATACAAAAAAAAGATACATTCTTGCTTTAGTCCCTGTGCTGTACTAATTGAATCCCTTGGGAACCACATCTAAATACAAAGAATGCTAGCTGTGCAACCATCCAGAGATCGTCCAGATGTTTGCAGCAGATAAGATTGCCCTCATATGAACTGTACCACGTACATAAGAGACTTCTGCTTCAGGTAAGTCTATAAAACTGTCACATATGTGTGAAAAATCGTAATGGAGGAGCCAAAATAACCAGTTAAAAATATGTCAGCCTTGCACATCCAGCATCATGCATAATCTATCAAGACAAACAAGAAACATTATAATATGCTTTGAGAGAAAACATCACAGTCTGGTTTCTAGGCCAGCACCTTAATCACTATACCAAAGTAGCTCTCTAACCACTACACCAAACTGGTTCTCAAACTTTAACTTAATCCAAATTTAATGAATAGCAGAGAGATGCTGCGCTTAACTGACACCCAAATCTCTTCTTCTGAATCATTTTTAGAGTGCATATGGCTCTAGGTATTTAAATTTATATATGATATTACAGTAAAATGATTATACTGATAAACTGGTCTGTTTTGTACATATTTTTCAATTAGTTATTTTGCTAGTTAAGCTATATTTCTTGTTTATAGCAACCAGCAGCACTGAAACACTGGGATGTAAAAAGGATGCTGTGTCCTGTTCTGTGGCACACTCAATGCTCCCAAGTGAGAAGCTCATCCAAAATCTAAAGGATTCCCCTCTATATTGGCAATACAGGGATCCTTACTAAATTTTCAAAAGTAATCACTAGTTTATTCATCGAAACTATTCCGTCCTTAACCAGCTGATTAGCTAATCTCAAAATGTAGGTACTTACATTATACACATTCATAAAAAATATATGTACCTTATAGGAATGAAGTATTTTCTTGTTTGAAGAATAATACCATTTTGTCCCATTTTACTAATCATGATGCACAGCACTTACCTGCATGCCTACATATACACACAACTCCACATCTGCACGCTATCCTGTTGATTAGAGAGCCAACACTGAGCTGGGAGACAGGATGTATTTCTTCAGGACCCCAAACCAAACAATTACCAAATTGAAACTTTCTTTAATTCTTCCTTAGGGAACAGCCCCACATTCATCTTAGCCACAAACAGCCTGCAGTTTCAGCCAAGCCAATAATCTACATGGATGTTAAGCCTTACTTAACGCGATTTATATTAAAGCAGCACTGCATAATAGTGCAAGACTGACATCCGAAATATACTTAAGGTTGTGGAACATATGCCTGACACGTAGTTAGACCCAAACTTCAAGTAGTTAGGGCAGTAGGACAGATCACACTAACTTCGGTCGCAAAGTAGCACAAGGCAAAATTGAGGAAGTTGGGGAAACGGGATAAGCAAACACTGGCCCGGTCCCAAGGCGGGTGCCCCCAGCTCAGGAGCCGATAAAAACTGTAATTATCTCTAACAGTGTATTTCTACTCCAAGCCCTTCCGGAATTAAATAAATGGCCTTTTTAAAGTCCTCTGCGGCGGACTGGCGCAGGCAAAGGGACACGGACTGGCGCACGCGCTCTTCAACGTGCAGTAATGGTGTCGAGGCATCTGTGCTCGAGATCGACAGGCCGGGGGTCGGGGTCCGAGCTTGGGCCGAGGCCAGAAGACAAAGGGCGCAACGAAACAGGGAAGGAGAAGACGAAGGCCAGGCGAGCGGCGGTACGGGTCAATCGAGAGCACCCTCCCCACTCCGGTGAAGCGCCTTCAAAGGTTGGAGGAAGAAGAAGAGCGGACGCAAAGGCGAAGCGTCGCTAACCAGCACAAGGGTTTCTCCTCTCGTCTTCTCCCCCTCCCCGCCAGGCCATCAGCGAGGAGAAGGAGGTGAGGCCTACAGGAGTCCCGACCGTCCCGAAATAAAGGCGGCGGCTGTTTTTGGAAGACGAAGGAATAGGACCCGGCCTCAAGAAACCCTCCAGGGCAGCAAGCTCCCTCAGGATCGCACCATTCTCACCAGTTCTGGGCTGGACGCCCGGCCTCGTCCCTTCCCCAATAGCCTCCGTCACTGTCAGGCTACTTTTCCGCGTCTCTTCCCCGCACAAGCTTGGCGGCGTCTGCGAGCGGAATTCACCCATTGGTCGACATGTGGAGAGAAGTCACGAGCCTATTGGCCCAACTGCTTATGTATTCCCAACCTGCTCATGAGTCATTGGACGAACTAAAGCAAAGGGGCGAGGCTACAGCTCGAACTCGTCTTCCGTGTCTATCGGGAGGGGCAGCCGGAGAGACTGCAATTGGCGCCGCCTGTCAGTTTACCCTCCCAAGATTGTAACCATGTAAACCTTTTAGAACAGCGTTTCTGAAAGTGTGGTTCGAGGACCCCTGAGGGTCCCCAGAACCCTGAGATCAAAATTATTTGCCAGATATTTAAGATACTTGCAAAAATTTAAAACAATGTCACTCTTCACTCTTTGTTCAATGGAAATAAATTTTCCAACAGTAAATATAAAACAAAATATAGTATGTTTTCATGAAAAATATTTGTTAATATGTAATGGGTTTAATATTTTTACATGATTCAACAAATATTCTATGAATGTGTTAATTTTTAACACAGTAAATATCAATAAATATAATCCATACAAATAAAAGCTCTTTTGGGGTGCTCCATAAAAGTAGGAAGACCACCAGAGAGCAAAAGGTTTAAGAAACACTACTTTAGAAGAATGTAAACATTTATAGGACACACAGATTTTAGCCTAAGCCTAACTTCTTTGCCAACACAGCCAACTAGCTTGTAATACTGTGCAGGCTTATACCACTTTAGAGGGGAAAATCTGAGAAGAGGAATTGGGATCATTTTCTTGAAATAAGTTGTTCTCTAGGAGACATGTTGATTCAGATGAGGCAGAGATGACTAGCAAAAAGTTCAGTAATAACTCTATAGCTTCAGCCTTTTCAATTTTTCAATTAACTCGATTGAGGAGAGGGGGATTGCACAACAAACTGAACAGTGAACTAGCCACACTGGTTGGGTTTGCACAACTAGGCTAAAATATGGTTGGCTATTCAGCATAGTGCGTAAACAAAGCTTCTATAAGGGTCTGATTTGTCTCTTGCTGGAATAACTAGAATGGCAACTGAAAAGGGATGGAAAATCAGGAGGACTATATTAGTTTGGTTTACAAATTTCCAAATTGTAGATATATTTATGAAGCAATACAGAAACTAGAGGAGTTTCCCAAATATTTACTGTTGGAAAATTTATTTCCATTGAAAGCATGTTAGTAGAGGATCTAAGTCCTCAAATTGCTCATTCCTTCATTAGTAGACACATTCTTATCTAAAAAAAGGAAACACATCAATACAAGTGTTTGCTGATTTAAAAATTCATCAAAATTCTCCCTTTTTAAAGATCTTATCCAACCATGATATTTTGGCAGTCTTTCTCTTCCTAGTAAGATTCTGCACTTAGATAGGAAGCCAGATGCACAGGTACATTATAGGGCATACATATCTGGGCAGTAGTACTTGTGAGAAAGATCTGGACATCCTAGATGACAGATTAAGTATGGGCAGGAGTATGTTACAGCTGCCAAAAGAACTTATGCAATCTTGGGTTGCGCTACATCAAAAAGGTAGTGTTGAGATCACCAGGAAGCGATGATTCTGCTCTATGCAACTATGTCTATTCTTTCTTGCAGCATTTTATTTTGTTTCACCATGGAAGGAAGCAGGAGAAGAACACAGGGTATTACAAATGGAATCACTACAGGCTACATAAAATTCCATGAGATGGAACCATCACAAGATAAAAATCTTGTGTGGAAACATCCTTGGACACAGGCCATATATTTATAGCTTTCTTCTCTTCAGAAATATAATCTCTATTTGATGTTGGTAGTTTTCATTTTGTCTAAACATAGTTTTCTGTGTTCCTTTGTATCATATAGACTTAACTCAAATTTCAGGATTCATGTTCGCTAATGCTGTCAGAACACAGAACTGTAATCCTAGGTACTCTGATTACATTAAGGAATCAAGGTTCAACTTAAAGGAGACATTACCTTTTATTGGAATTAAAGTTAATGCTGAAATTCAATAACCCTTTACTTGGGAATTAAATCCACTGAATTCAATGGGAATTACTTCAGTGAGAATAATATTATTCTTGAGCTATACCCCAAGCCAGAAGAAAACAACAGTACTGATGAAACTAGAGGCCTAGAGGAGATTTACACCAGCTCAAAGATATTAGGTAGAACAGATTTTCTATGTTAGACCTAATTCCTTTCTCAGTTGCCATTTTCACAGCACAGGAGAACACTTGCAAAGGCATGACTTTTCCAGAACAAACAATTAATGAGCAAAATGATTCCTCTTAAATGCCATACTTTAATATATTGAGAATCAGTCTGTTACATTTTTAGTTTTAAAATATTTCAAGCTTGGAATTTATATTTACAACTGAGGATTCAGTATATACATCTGAAGTAAGAGATCACAATTGAAATTAAAGCAGTCTTGATTTACCACTTTGTAACAGCTAGTTTCAATTTACAAAACATATGTCATGAAAATGTAAGAATAAAATACAGTTCTTAGGTATGTAGTGTTACTGTATAGATTGCTTGAACACAGAGTAATGACTGAAATTAATCAGTATCTTAATTAATTCAGAACAATACAATAATCTTTATTACAGATTTAAAAGCATATTAAATATTTCTAAAATTAGAAATAGTTCATTTAATTAAATAGCACATGGTAAACATTCTACCAGAGAACTGGCCTATGATATTTGGGGGAGGGGGAGAGACCCTTAAACTTTCCCAGCTCTTGTGACCAAACATTGGCCACTCCTTTTTTCTTATAATTCATGTAAAGCAATCTAGCTACTATAGTCTATAATGTATAAATACATATACAATCAAAAAATGAATGTAGATGAAATATAATTCTATTCTAATTATGTCCTGGCTCAAGAAACAGAAAGTGCTATAACACAGATTTCCACAGACAGTTCCCAGCTGGTCCCATTCCTTCTTCTGGGACTTGGGCCATTGCTATTATGATATATAGCACCATAAACCAGAATCTTGCAATAAAATTTCTGCCTAGAAAAAAATCAATACATTCCTGTGATTTTCATACTTAATTGCAGTTGCATATTATTACTAGTTGAAACAAAGTTGCGTACAACTTTTCTGAGACTTGTCTACAAATGTATAACACAGCTAACCTCATTTTCTCCTTTATGTTCTCTATTAAGTTCTGCTGTATCTCTGAGGAATATATTGAGCCATCACAGAATGGATTGTAGATGAAGGACTGCCTTGCTGCAGAGGATATAGCTTTCTCTCAGACCAAAGATATGTCACTGTATAACCACTATCCGTGGCTTGGAGAGATCTTAGCCAAAGATTAATTTCACTTCATTACAAGGTATTTTTATTGCCCTGTATTTTTTGAATGCCAAGAATAAGTTTACAAGTTTATTCCCTAGTCATTCTAAAACTGGGAATCTCCTGAGCTTCTACCAGTGAGTAGTGAGCTGAAGAAGGTGGCTTCTTAGGTAAGTATACAACATAACACTAGCTTTAATCTCAGCCAGCAGATATTTATGATGCTTCAAAAATTATTTTATATAGAACTTAGGTATCAATAATATTCTGATTACAATGAACACTGAATTTACCAGTGACAAAATTTAAGTGCTGCATAATTTTCAAGAAATAAAAAGTACAATTATTTTGCATAAATGTGACTGGGTTCCATACAACTGCCCAAGTTATGTAACCAAAGAAGTATATTCATCCACTTTTCTTAAAATCAGTTAAACTGATAAAAATACAGGCTAGGTATACTACATTATTCTCAGTTAGGACTTTCTAAATCTGGGTTGGCTGAAGAAGTGATAGCAGTCTTTTTCACGTGTAATGCCACTAGTGCACAACTAAGACCAAATACACCAACATTATGGCTCATAATAAAATGTGACCCTAACCACAATAATCTGGAAACTGCCACAGAAAGCATTAGGCTGGTATGCATTATTTCACAAATATTCTACTTTCAATATTTTACATACTGTATAGAGACAGTGACTGCAATAGGTTTTCAAGTTCTGAGGTAGCAGGTACTGAGGTGTATAGTGAAGGAAAAGTAACAATGGGTCATTCAAGAGAGACCCACTTTGTGCTTATCTAATAAGTAGAAAACAATCCCAATTTGTTCTCAGTCCGGAAACATCAACTATTCAGTATTTGGATAAATGCACAAAAGAAGTCTGCTTCTTTCATTTCTGTTTAAATTAAAAGCTAGATTCTAAAAATTTTGTATATTTCATAAGTGACAATGTAGACATACTTAGATTTTCCCCATCTCTTAGATCAGAATCTGAGGACTTCCAAAAGTTACTGGACAACACTGATTATGCTAGCCATATCTGCAAGTCATAAATTTTTCATGCCACGTAATACGGACAGCTGACCAATTTCCAATTAACCAATTTGGAAATTTAAGATTTCACTGATACATTTTTAAAACCATAAGAAAATTAAGGCCATCATTGCAAGGGTAAGGTCAATTCATACGCTGATTTACTGGTCTCTATCTTCCCTTGTATGAAGCCACCTCATTGGACAAGTAGTTGCTTTCTAGATTATGTTTCAGTTTCAACTTATTGGTTATCACAACAAAAAAGAAATCTTAAAACTAACAACAAGCTAAAAGCCTTTTAGTACTTTTCACTCTAGACAGTCTCCTGTCTTAGAACCAATCTAGATGTATGGATGCATCTGTGTCTCTTTAATTTGGGGATGGGGTGGGGGAAGATAATACCAATAGATATATTTCTACCAAAAGGAGACAGTTTACAGTAGGAAAACAGTGTAGTAGTATCTGTGTATGCTCATATCTATGTGGAAATGATCTTCATGTTACAGTTTTGATCTAGATTTTCCATACAAAATCTGCCAGAGTGATATCTGAACATTCCCACACGGAGGCCTCATGCATAAAATCAAGTTTGTCCATTATAAATAATTATCACTTAGAACAATACATTCTATGGCATTTAGTCTCTTGACTACTACATGGTGTTCACTACTATTCCAGTACACATTTTGTATTGCTTGAATGATGTCAGAAAAACAGTAATTGCTTAGTACAGTTAATTCTAAAGCAGAAATAAAGTCATGAGTTATATCATCCAACACATAAATTATACTAATTCTGATCTCACTGCTGAGATGCCTGGCTATACCAAGAGAGAGAACGGTGGACAGCTTTTATCCAATTACTCATGGCAGGTTCGTACTCCTTTGGCTCTTTTTGTGGCTTAAAAACCATGCCAGTTTGCCTCAACTTTTTCAGATGATCTTTGTTAGTCCAAAATCCTAAAAACAAAATACAAAATAGTTACTCTCAAGTTGTTAATAACTCCTGTATTAGAACATGTGTACAGGAATATATAAATCTAGTTTGAAGAATGTAAGCAACACATCATAACATTTAAATATTTGGAATATTTTTTGTATTAGAGAACTAACCTGCAGAACAAGTATATTAAATAACAAAGAAATCTATAGATTATTCTGAAGTATTATCAACTCTGTGGCTGCCTCTGCCCTATGGATCACCCGTCCCCAGAGATCCATCAGGCCCCCACCCGTCTTGCCTTCCAGAAGGCTTGGAGAGCTGACTCTTCCCACAAGCGTTGAGGTAGGATGAGGCTGGAGCACAAGATGGTGTGTGGATGTATAGGAGAGAGCTGCCCTGAGGTGCTAGAATTTTTTAAATAGAGTCTTTATAGAGTTTTGATTGATTTTTAGTTTATGGTTTGGAGGTTTCTGTTGATTTACTGTTTTGTGCACTGCCCAGGGTTGCTGTTACAATATGGCAGCTATAGAAGTATTTTTAAATAAATAAATAAGTGGACAATATAGTCAACAGCAAGAGAGACTTACTAGTTACTGTTCCAGCTTGGTTCAATTAAGTCCAAATGATTGCAAAATAATTTTTGAAAGACAAAGAGTTACTACATAGGTTTCCTATGACTGCTTCAGACATATTTGAACATCTGATGTTTTGTAACTAGATTAGGGTTTGTGAATTGCATAGTGCAATTCCTATGCATATATTTAATGGATTTGGCAGGTATTTGTCAACCGAGTAAGAGATGGTACGGCCTTTGTACATAAGGTCAAGAAATGTAAAGGGTAAGGTAGATGACCTTGACAGAAATATGCAAGAATGGTTACATAAGCAAAGAGGGCTGAAACATGTGATAAGTCCTGGGAAGTAAGATAGTATTCAGAAGCAACTCAAGGAGGCTCTTCCCTGATTTATTGGGGTGTATGAACGAGAGGAGGTAAAGCCCAATCAGGCTTGCAAGATACTATTACTATGTCGCTTTGTGTGAGAGGGGCGGCTATATAAATGTGATATACAAAATACATAAATAAATAGCCTATCTCAATAAAATAAAGTTGTATTCTTCCTGAGGGATTGATTTTCTGGTTTGGTCTACCTAGTAACTCTGATCAGAAACGGGGATGAACCAGCAGCAGAATATATAAGAATATATTATGTATAGTTCTGAATCATGCTGGTTTAAGATAATGTCATTTCTTTACATCATAATGAGTCAAGTATTCCATGTTCACAAGTATTTAAATATTCAATAAATTATTACTTTGATAAGTAGTACATTAGCAGTTTGATCAACTCCCATTTTTAAACCTGGAATGCTTGGATGAAACGGGCTTTTGATTAACAGTATGTGTATAATTTAGTCCTTATCCAAATTACAATATCTTCACTAAAATACTAAATAAGTAAACAGAATTTTGTATTGTGAATTCAGAAAAATACATAAGTAAAAACTAGGTAAGAGAACCAGTGTGCTATAGTGGCTTATTTCTTCCATCCATCCATCCATCCATCCATCCATCCTTCAAATTTATATATGCCGCTCATCTCACTACACAAGTGACTCTAGGCAGATAAAAACTATAAAATCTACATGTAGATATATAAAACTATACATACACATATGTAATGTTAAAAACAACAAAAAGTTAAAATTAAGCCAGAAAGTTGAAACTACAATGCAAATTAAAAAGTGGAGAGAGCATCCTCAGGCTACCAGTAACCCCCAGGGCTGTGAACCCCCATTGGGTCCCCATGCAAGTTGGCAGAGCCAGGTCTTAATGCCTTTTCAGAAGGGCAGCACAGTGGGAGCCAATCTCACTTCAGGGGGCAAGATATTCCAGAGGATGGGAGCCATGGCAGAAAAGGCTCTCCTCCTGGACCCCACCAGTCAAAACTCTCTAGGTGACGGGGTCTGTAAATACCCTTCCTGCTGGACTGGGTGGGACGGGTTGATGTAATGGGAGTGAGATGGTTCCTCAGGTAACCTGGGTTCATGCCATGAAGGGCTTAAAGGTCATAACCAACACCTTGAATTGGTCCCAGAAGCAAACCAGCACCCAATGCAGCTCGCGCAGTAGATGTGTTACATGTGCAGTCCTACAGGTGCCCATAATTGCCTGTGCCTCCGCATTCATAGCTTCTGAATACTAGGGTAGCCCTGTGTAGAGTGCATTGCAATAGTCCATACGGGAGGTGATCAGGGCATGAGTGACTGAGAGAAGAGCTAAAGAATTAAAACTCGAATCGAATCTGGGAGATCACAAGTTTTAGTCTTGCCTTTTGTCATGTAGCCAGCTGAGTGACTTTGGGCCAATTGCTCCCTCTCAGCCCCAGGAAGAAGGCAATGACAAACCACTTCCAAAAATATTGCTAAGAAAATGGCATGGACTTGCCCAGGTAGTTGCCAGGAGTCAGGTGGACTTGATGGACCATAACAGAAACTATACAGCATGCACTCGAGAAATATCAAGAGCAGAACTATTATCATTTGCCAATTTTTATACCACATGAAATAAACAACTGCTTCTCTCTTAAAACAGATTCTACCAAATATTCAGACTAAAGCATACCAATAGCGAGGCCTGCTAGAAAAGCTGCTCCAAGACAAGACATGTCTGTGCTGACAGGCTTGCTTATTGATTTATTAATTAAATCAGAAGTCATCTGCATCACAAAACTATTTTTACTGACGCCTCCATCAGCTCTGTAGAGAGATGGGAGAGAAAAAATAAACCACTTACATTATTCAAATTATTCAAATTACACTTACATTATTCATTATTCAAATATTCTAGAAAATATATATGATTTAAATTGTATGCCCAAAAGGCAAAACATAAACACTGCAGTACTGTCGTCTGGGACTACATAAAATGTCAGATTAGCATGCATAATAGGTATGTTACTATGTTATAAGATCTAATGGGGCTGCCTCATAAGTTTTTCAAACTCTAAATAAAACTGAGTGTAATTATCAAGAGATTGAGATTTTCCATGCATGGAAAACATTTAGTTTTATATTTCATTTTCATCAGATGTTTCTGAGGTAGTGAAGAATCTGATTTGGAATCTGTAATAACTGGGTAAGATCCAGTTATTATAAGGTGCACAAGCTTGCTGAAAAGTAAGCTGAAAGTAGGTAATTCAACTGACCAGCGCAGGAATATTCAGAATGTTTTTGTCAGGATAATACTCTTTCTGGAGGATCCTATTTTCAGCTTGAAAGTGATTATAAATTCAGCATTACCAACAGCTGGGTTTATCAACATCCTGAAACACATCTCTCTGCCAACAGGGACAACATTCCTGTAACCGCTACATTAGAACACTGTAATATACCATACATGGCAATGCCTTTGAAGAACGCCTAGAAACTTCATCTGGTTCAAAAAGGGACTGCTAAGTGAAATGGAAGCAAATGTGATGTGTTGTAATATGTAGAAGTGCCTCAAGCAAGCCATGAACTTAATAACCCAATACAGGTAATCCCCAGGTTAAGAATGAGTTCCGTTCCCAAGATCTGTCCTTAAATTGAATTTGTATGTAAGCCAGAATAGTATTACTGTATAACACTGTATAAGTGGTATCATGTAATGAACTTGAATCATTCTGTATTTAACTCAATTCATTGTATATTTAACTTGAATTTTGCTACAATAGGTTCCGTTCTTAACTATGGGTCATCTGTAATCTGGGCATTCTTAACTTGGGGACTACCTGTATATACTTTGTTCTGATAAAACTGTACCATTCTTAAAGGTAACATTAAATACTATCTGTTTCATAGTTTGTGCTTAAAAAAAGACTGCCAAGCTAATATCTTAGATTTCAAAAGGATAAATTGGAAAGCACTGGTTTGACAAATAGTATACAAATAATCACTAAAAAGCTAACAACAGCTTTGTTAACTCTACAGGCAACTAGAAAGCCTCAGGTCAGCAGCTTACAGCTAGAGGTGCCTCCAAGACAGAATTACACTGGCTCTAACTCAAGCCTTGTTCACTAAAGTTCATGTACTAAGTTTATTTAAAATATAAATTCACACTGACAATTTGGACATAATATAAACATACCGAATGGACATAGGTGGAATACCCAACTCTGTTGTGATGGTGTCATACAGCTGTTTGTTTCTTCAAAAAAGACGGGGGGAAATTCAATAGAAGTAACAATATATCAAGTAACAATTACTTTAGAAGCAATCAAATCAATCAAAATTAGTTAGATATTTAAAGACACGTTTACGATGGAGTTAAAATTAGCCATTGTAAAATAAATTAGAGTTGCTTAATAAACCAAGGTTTCCAAATTTCTGATCTATATTCTGTTTCTTTTAAAACATTTTAGGCTGCTTTGTTCATAAAATTAAAGCAGTAATAAAAAAAGGAAAAAGTTAATAGAAATTGTTAGTTAAAAGTTCCATTGGGGTTTACAGAATCCTAAGCAAAAATAAAGAGGAGAGAGTAATTTATGATGTTATGAAACATCAGCTATTCAACAAAACCCCAGAAAATAAAACATGAACAGGAAAAGTACTAAAAATCAACAAGTTAGTAACAAATCAATCTAATGGTTTTGTATCACTTTAAAATGGTTTTGTATCACTTTGAGACGTTAACAAGAATTCCAATGATCCTAATAAGAAAGTATTATTAGTATAAAAGATTAAAAACTAATGAACAAAGGTTCCTAGTCTATCCACGGTAATTTTATCTGATAACTACTGTTCCCAAATTAGAATATACGAATTCTCAATTTTTCATCTTACGTTTTATATGACAAAAGCAGAGGTGATAATCAAGATTAATATACTTAATATAATGTAGCTTTCTGAGTAATCAAAATATTGAAGCATTTTTGCAACTCTAAAATGGTAACAGCGATCATGTATTTTGTTACTTGCTAACTGCAGTAATGTAAAACCAATCCATAATTTAAATTTTAGTTGCTCAAGTTGAATTTAGAATTTAATCAGCAAGGAGCAAAGCAAAATAAATCCCATTTACCTAGTCTATTATCTTAAGCTTGGAGAGACCCAAAGAAGAAATAAAAATGGAAAACTGGATTTGGACATGGAGAGAAAGTACAGGGTACTGGAAAGAGAAGAGCATACAAAGCAAGCATGTCAAAAAAAACCTCATGAGGTTGAACAAGCTTATATAGTTTGTGTGCTCTGGGATTTAATGATAATGATTCACTTTCTTATGTGGGTGTACTTGTATTTTAAGGGAGTTGGGCTGCCTTCCCTTGCCAATGAATAGGTTTATTGCAATAAGAAATCCAAAAGTACAAACCTATAACAGTTAGTAGAAATTGTTAATTGTATATTTACCTTGGTAATTTTTTGAAAAACTATGAATTCTGAACAAAAGAGAAATCAAATGTGATTGGTTGTAATGACTGCTGATGCGCAGCTATGTGTGGGTGTGGGTGTGTACACAAATAGTACAAGTGCGTATTGAGAACAGGCTCAACCATAAGCAATATCCCATTTTAATAGGATGTGTCCAAGTACCTGAAAGCTATGGATTCCAACACAGCTCGAACAAGATGTTTTTTGGTAGTAGAAGGTGTGATCCCCATAAAAGAAGTACATGCATAAGGATCATTCACTGGTATCTGAAATAAAAAAAATATTAAAATAAAATATGTAGGAATATGTTCTTTAGGCAAATGTTCAAGAAAGGACTGAAATATTAGGGAAAGAATAACTTACAGGTGGCAATAAGAGGCAGCATAGTAAGAAGAAGAAAATTAAAACAGCAGTAAGCAATATGTAGGCAATTGTTATATATTTATATGATGATTTAGAATGTAATTTTATTAAGCTTGAAAGCGACTTATTATAAAACATATTGAAAGCTGAATGAAATATATAATTTAGGACAATCATATTTGGGAGAAAAAAAGCAAATGGTTATTTAAGTAAATAAATCAAGGGCAATATTTTTACCTGCAAACCACTAAAAGATGGAACAAAACAAACTCCTCCTGAATTTATTAGGCTATATGCCATTTGTGATGTCTCTCCAACGTTGTCAAAAAGATCTGTGTAAGCACACAAGATGTGAATTAATCTGTACCAACAACCCTCAAACGTTTATACATAAATGCATTTATATTTGTTTTAACCTGGTGTTTCATTTGGCATTGCATCATAAATAAAGCAAAAAAAAAAGCTATAATTTACATAATTATCAAAATGAAAAAAAAAATCATTTTGTTCATAATTATCAAAAGGAAAAAAAGACAGTTCCCTCACCCATCTATGTAAAAACTAGTAACACACTGATAAGTAATGCTTTCTACTTTATCTATTTCATAGGCTTAAGTAATTCAACTGAAGCTACTCACCTAAGCTCTGAGCCCATTTTATAGCATTTCCAGTATCAGAAGCATTGCCTTCAGCTAAGTAAGTTATCTCTTTCCCAATTTTCCAACCAACCAATGGATACAAGCCTTAAAATAACAAAACATAAGTTTTCAAAGACGTGCTACAATGAGGCCATTACATTCACAGAAACGCTTTTGATTCAGTGCAGGCCTTTATCAACAGAAGACCTGGGGATAATTTTCACCAAATTCCCCTACAGCCTCTGAAAATACAGCCTAGACGATAAAAGGCTCCTTATAGGGGATGGAAGAATAACTAACCTTCTTCCACACTGATCAAAACTTGGGATAGTCCCTTTGCAAAAAAGCAGCACTGGATACACTCGGTTTTTATTTCATATTTCCCCTAGTGAGTTTATTATGAATTACACAGTTTTCTCTCCTCTTTATTCATTCTCATAACAATTTTTTAAAGGTCAGAGTGAAAGACAATGAGTCTTATGACTGCATGTTTGAGCCTGGTTTCCCTGGTCCTAATCTAAAACTTTTACTATTACATACACTGGCTTTGTAAAAACGTTCTTTGGCACATTAACATGTAAGTTCTTTCCAAAATTTCCGATCTTAGAAAATCATCACACATTATAATGTAAATGTTTGGGGGGGATGAGAGAGAGAGAGAATGTGTGTGTGTGTGTTATATTAATAATGAAATTAGTGCTTTATTACATAGCATAGCAATAAGCTACATTAGAGTCTAAAATGTTTTCAAAATAATATGTTCTTCCACATCATGTTTGAATGAATGTGGAGATATATTAATATAGGGTCTCCTAAACATGAAAGTCTTCTGAGAAGCCTATTCAAATTACATTTTATAAAGTTTGAGAATCTTTATAATCCAGCTTGAGTTGAATCTTCTATAGTCAATCTTTCCCATAAAATCTTTCCTGACTCTGGTGTTGTTTTCCTTTGTGTCCAGGTGAAAGCTGTAATTGTAAGTACACTTAATCTGCATTAGATGGAACAAAAAACTACTTCTAGGAATTATTAGAACTATATTTTTAGAATTTTTTGACTAGCACAAATACTGGAAAAAATTAACTATTAAAATATGTTGTTGGGAATGGAGCTCTTCAGAAATGATTTCCCTTTCCAAAATTTATTTACCTCTCTACATCCTATAACTAAGATAGTTTTCTTGACTGATCAGTTTATAAATAGTTAACTGATGATACTTTAACTATATTAATCAACTGTCTTAATTTTAATAAAATTAAATTTTATAAAATTAAATTAAAATGAAATAATATTTAAAATCAAATTTAAAACATTTAAAATTAAAATTAAGATAAAATTTATAAAATCATATTTATAAAATATAAATTGTGTTGTGTCCACAATTGTTCCTGCCAGCCAGAAACATGCAAACCTACCTCTCTTAGATGCATGAATTTTGTTTCCAGTATTAATATCCCAGAAGGAACCAGTACCCATGGTGACTTTTATATCACCTCGATCAAAACAACACTGTCCGAACATGGCTGCCTGCTGGTCTGCTACCTACAAGTAAAAAATCAGACAGCAAGGTGTCAATAGCTATCCTAGATATTAAACATTTAGAAGTACATGGTAATTTTACTATGTTGAAAAACTAATATGCCAAGCTTAAAAAAAAAAAAAAAGGAAAAGCAGTAGAATGGAAACAAGACATGTAATTTTCCATTCATTGGCCAGATAAAATAATTTTAACAGGTAAAATATTGTCATATTTATGTTTTTTTTTTAAGTTTTATTCAAGGTAGCATCAAGATTTGGTATCACTGTACAGGCATCAAATCCCTAAAATTCTGGCAGAACTTCTTACGGATGCTGGCTCTGGGTTCCTTAATTTTGTTTCCAATTTTCCAAATATCACTAGTAAACTACATCCAATTATATTTTAGCTTCTCACGAAGTCCTTACCCTAGTATTGCCTCTGGTGCACTGTGGGGAAATCAAAAGAATGACTAAACCCATCTGGCCACTGCAGACAGATAAGGCCACCGACAGAGGAGCAGATATAGAGGACACTGCCTGGAGCGTTTCCCAACCCATTATATTATGGGACAAGGTTTACTGGACTCAGTGAACAAAGTTGCACTCTATTATTTGAGCTGTTGTAATTTTAACAAGCATAGTATCATTTTTATACATTTTCTAAGATAAGATAATATTATGTGCGATAGGAAAAGATCCTGAATATACTGTATATATTTACAAAACCATAATGACAGTTACGCTTGATTACTATTCTCTTCTCTATTCATTTTTAAACAAATAATTTAGGGATTAGATAGTATATCAATAGCAATGCTATTTGTTTCTCTCTTCAGGCTTTGCTATGGAAAGCAGCACTTGTTCATCTATATTTTACATTGTAGATGTACACGCAGAGGAACAAATAGTTGACAAAGCCATGAAGAACAGCATTATATAGCTTATATTCACACTTTTATAAGTGTTACAAAGTTTTAGTAGCTTCTCTTACCCATCTCCTTGACATATGAGAAAACTTGACATAGAGAAGCCAAAAATAGTCTGAGAAATATTTATATATGGTTTAATGTCAGGATTAAGTTCCAGCTGGATTCCAGTCCAAGAGATCATAAAAAGGTATGCTAGATATATTGAATATAATTATTACCAAATACAGGTTATGAGTTATGGCCCTAGATACAATCCTGTCCAAATAATATATGTGAATCAAGGAGGTTACTAAATCCAGATTCAAAATATTAGTGTTTAATTAATTTTGAATGAGTTCTGGATAAATCTTGGTTCTCAAAGCATCCAAGTGGCAGAAATATTTAGAACATAACATCGTGCAAGTTTAAATTGTTTAAAATGTTCACATTAATATTTAATTCACTGAAATAGAAGATTTCAAAACCAGAATATTTAGTTTTTAAAAAGGATTAAATAGCATGCCCTTCACATGGTAAAAAGAGATTTACAAACGTAAATACAGCTATTGTACAAATCCATTTGTACATACTGATTTTTCCTCTCCTTTTCCCCCAATCAGCTTACCTTGAAATTAAATAACTGAATTAATGTAATGTAAAGGGCTCTAAATAAGTAATTTGAGTCATCCATAGTAGATTAAGCTCAGATTTAGCCTCTATTTTGAATCTTTCCTCTGGAAATTTAGGGATTAATACATTTTACTCAATACCCAATTTAAATATATCTAAGTCAAACAGAAAAAGCTTCTTTACTTACCAAAGCTGCTATTGCAATAGGTACTCCAAATATTTCAGTATCAACCGATCCAAAGATGTGACTTAAAGTAAAGGTAAAAATTAGTGCCTTCAACTTATTTAATAAATTTGTAACAAATTAACTAAATGGATACAGAGAAATGTATCACTTCTATTCTAAACAGAACTCTGACACCATTTATATTTCAATAAATACTTCGATATTTATGCCTTCATTTAGAAAAGCAAAAATATATGTCCATTAATTAAAACTTACCTAGTGTCCTCTATTGGAGGGAAAAGTGATATCGGAATGGAAAGTATCTTGCTAAGGAATACACTCCACTGGAGCTGAAATTATGCATATTAAAAAAAAGAATTAAAAGCAATGTAAGGACACAGTGCAACAACATGGGCGAGGGAGCTAGTCATACCTTATAAGGATCCAAAAATGCAGTGGTACTAGCATTTGAATAATCTGTAGCATATACTGCACCTAGAATATACAATCAAATATCGAAAAATGAAAAAAATGATTATAGTGAAAAACATGGAGAGTAAAATTTGATCTCCTAAACAATGTATTAGTCTGAATAAGTTACATATTTCTTAATAATCAAACTATAAACTCATGTTTGCTTCCTGCCAAGAGGTTATTTTCTTTAATTGTCATGTAATATAGAACTGTCCAGTAGTAATGTATGGCTGTGAGAGCTGGACCATAAAGAAGGCGGAGCGCCGAAGAATTGATGCCTTTGA